AGACAGCAACAACAGTCCCATTGTTTTCCGCGTCCCTTTTGATTGTAAGCGTGGTTGCCGCCTGTACTGGCCTTGACATTCCTCGTTATCGCCCACAGTGCACCAAATACGTTCAGCAGCAATCCGGCAGGCACACCCACACAAGGCACGTGCTCTCAACTACGGGCTGTTATTGTTGTGTGACGTCGGGGTTGTAGTTGGGGTCAAGGAAGATCTTTTCGCCCTCCCCATCCTGGACCTCCACCTCAAGCAGATTTCCATCCTTCAGCATCTTTTGAATGACGAGGTTCACGTAACGCAACTCCGCCTCTAGCTGTGATTTATTGAGGGAGCGCACTTGCTCCATGTACCAAGTCACCAGCTCCGCACGGGATGGCGGGCTGGCCTCCCCCAGTGACTGCAGCCTGGCAACAATGCGGTTAACAATCCCAAAGTAGTGGTCGGCACTGATAACCGCTTTTCGAGGTGCAGGCGCTGCGGCTGCCACAGCGGCGGCCGCAGCCTTGCCCCTTTTGCGTCTCGCCGCCGTTGACTGCTCCTTCGTCTTTCCCTGCCGCATCTCTTGCTGCTGCTGCTGCTGCTGCTGCCCCCACTGCTCCTCCAGTGGCTCCTTTTTAACGCCCTCGGAGGCTATTTCAAAGGGATCCAAAGTGCCGACAAGCTCCACCTCGGTCATGTCCAGCGTTGAAAGGGACTGGCGCATGAGCTCCAGGGCCACTTCCACATGAGCCGGCCTCACGTCCTCGCTCATGTACAGCTTCGCCACAGCCTCGGAGAGGCGAATGATGCTCTCCAAAAGACGCGTTGTAACACGGTACACCTTACTGCGGTTGGAGAGGGAGTCCTGCAGCCGCATGTCACGGTACGCCGAGACAATGAGTTGCACCGACTCCTCCTTAAGGCGGGGCGTGAGGGAGCGCGTGTAGCGGAGATACAACTGAAAATCCTCCGGTGAAAATGGTGGACGCACGGCACGGTCACCGAAGCGGTGGAGCCGCAGCAGCTGATCGGCAATCGCGTAGTCCGCGTCGTCGTTGGACTCATCCACGATGACAAACATGAGATCAAACCGGGACATAATGGGCGCCGTCATGGCCACATTCTTCTGCAGGGGCTTGCGACGGTCATACTTCCCCCCAATGGGATTCATCGCCGCGAGGAGTGACGTGCGGGCACTCAACGTCGCCTTAATCCCTGCCTTGGCGATGGAGATGGTTTGCTGCTCCATCGCCTCATGGATCGCCACCTGATCCTTCACCTCCATCTTGTCAAACTCGTCAATGCAGCAGACTCCGCGGTCGCTCAACATGAGAGCCCCTGCCTCGATGGTGCGGTCCCCGGTGTCCGCATCGCGCGTGACGGTCGCCGTGAGACCACTCGCCGTAGAGGCCTTCCCGCTGGTGTACACCCCTCGGGACACGTTGCTTGCCACCCACTTCAAAAACCGCGACTTGGCCGTTGAGGGATCGCCCACAATGCAGACGTTAATGTCCCCCCGCAGCCCGATCTGCTCCAAGGTGCTCTTTGAAACCCCGCCCACCATCTGCAGCAGCAGGCCCAGCTTCACAACATCGTGCTTGAAGATGTTTGGGGCAACACATTCGGTGAGCGCCTTGAGCAGATTATCGTGACTGCGCATCAGCTGCACCTTTTCTAGCTCCGCAGGTGTGAGACGGACATGCGCCCGCTCCGCGGCACCGTCAGCAGAGTCCTTCACCGCCTCCGTCATCTTTCGATCATCACCGTTGGCGTCCGTGATGGTGGTTGCCAAAAAACACATGCGATAGTTGAGCTCCCGCACACCCAAGGCTCGCAGTCCCGTGGCGCCCTCCATCTCCTGCTGCGCCTCCTGCTGCGCTCGCTGCACCCCCGACATCTCCCGCTGCACCTCTCGACGATGAGACTGACTCAGCAGCTTCGCCACCTCGGGAACGACGATGGGGCAGCCAACCGCAATGACACGATCACCCGGCTTCGCCACCTCCACCGCATCGTTACGCGCGATAAGCTCCATGGTGCGCGGTACACACCCCGCAGGAATGTTATTAGCATCCTCCTGCAGCCGTACCTTCTGCCAGTCACCAAACCTCGTCTGCGGATGGCTCGGAACAAGTTGAAAGCGGTTTTTGTTCTCACACTCTGGGTCGCGGCAGGCCGGAGGCTCCGTGTAATGGAATGGCTGTAGAACAGGCTGACTTTCCGTCCCGCAGTCATTGCAGCGAAAAACGCCAACGACCAGCTCCGGTCGCACCTGCGAGGTTCGCGTCACAACGCCTTTAATTGAGCACAGCTGCCCCACCATCGACGCGCGCAGCGCACGGATACCCAAGCAGCGAGGCACGCACGAGAACACCAAACTCGGACTGCACTTGCCACGGTTAGCGTAATCCTCCGCGTAGTACTGGGAAAGCACCTGATGCAGCGCAAGGTCTAGGAAAGGCGCAAAGCGTTGGTAGTCAAACTCAATCGCTGCGCTTGCGTCTTCGTCAAAAAGGCTGAAGTCACCCCATCGTACAACGCACGTCGACCGACCAGTCAACACACGTGCTGATACGCTCCAGTTGTCGCGCAATGTACTGCAGATCGGTGAGCGGCGCAGCGGCGGGGCGCAGAGAAGGGTCCACGAGGCGGCTGAGAAAGACGTACATCGCGTCACGCACCCTGGCACCGTCCGCGTCGACCTCCACCATCACTGGGGGCTCCTCCCGGGGCGCCTCCGCGTCGCCCACCACCGATGCAAGATTCATCCGCTTCACTGGCGGCCGAAGCAGCACCCAACGAGAGACCAAGCACGTAGAGAGAAAAAAAAGAGGGAAAAGGGTTTACCGGCACACCGCCAGCAGCACACCACCACCACCACCCACAAGGCCCGCAAAACGGCAAAACACACAAAATCAACCACAAATAAGCAATGTAGAAAAAAAACAAAAAAATTAAAGCGGAAAAAAAAAAGAATGAAGCCCATGTGCACTGAAAGCGGCAGCGCAGGCAGCCGCACTCCCTTGCATATATATATATATATGGGCGGTGACGGGAGTTACCTCCTGCCAAATCATTTTTTATTCCGCAGAGTTTCCAAAAAAGGGCACATGCCCAACACACAGATATCGCTTTTCTCACGAATGGTGAGCAAAAAAAAGAACAAAATATTATTTTCCGTATTTCAAAAGGCAAAGAGGGGTAGTGCAGAGAGTGCGCAGATTATTATTACTACTGTCTTTATTGCGGCCTGAGTGCGGAGCCCCTTTGGGAGCGCAGTTGTATATCATTCCCCCTCCGCACTTTGTTTGCGCCCGGCCGCTGCCGCTGCGGCTCAAGCAGGCGGTATCACCACTGCGGCGATGGTCACCGCCAGAAGCACAAAGCCACTGAAGCCAATAGCCAAAGCAGCCGCACTGACGTCGCTTCCGACTTGTCGCGCCACCTCCAGTTTCTTTGGACGCTGCTGCTGTTGTCCAATCCC